AAATATATATGTATTTACTCAACCCAATGACACTAACTTGGACTTTAAACCCATTTCACTTCCTGTAAAGCTTTTTTCCTTCAGTATGAAGGATTGTATGGCCATATCTTCTCATGCTATTCCTCTTATGCATGAGAGAATTGCTTATTCTTATAAATAAAGCATAATAGCCTGGTTTGTGGAATACCACCCCATTCCCCCTAAACTCTATAAGAAAGAAAAGAAACATTATCAGAGTACTGTTAGCAAAAATGTACCTCATCAGAAACACACACACACACACACACACACACACTGCCAGAATCAACTTTGTACAAACTCTGGAAAATACTCAAACATGTTACAGCAAACACGTGAACACTAAATTAAATAAAAAAAAACAAAAAACAGAAACAGATGAGTTATACAAGACATTTAAGGAAATCTTGATCAAATTACTTATTGAACATAAGCTAAAGGAAACAGCCTTTAAAGATGACAAGACAAAGAATACAGTGTTTAAAAATATGGTCAAAAAGCTAAAGGGTTTAAACCATTGACAAATAACTAACAACAATCAGGAGAATAATATGTCAACAAATAAAGAATGCCGATAAAGAAGTAGTAATTCTAAAAAAAAAAAATCAAATTCTGTAGCTGAAAGTGTAACAACTGAAATGAAAAACTCACTAGGGGATTTCATTAAACGGATCTGAGGAAAGATGAATCAGCAAACTGTAAGGTCAAATAAGAGTATCCAATTCAAAGAACAGAAAGAAAAGTAAACAGAGCCTCCTAAGATACCCATGGGACCATTAAGCATACTGACTTAAGCATACACACGAGAGTCCTAGAAAGAGAGGAGAGAGTGGAGCAGAAAGAATATTTGAGGAAATAAAAGCCATCAGTTTTCAAAATCAGTAAAACATGAATGTACACAAAACAGACATTCCATGAACTCCAAGTAGGACAAATTCTGTGGAACTGAATAAAGGAAACATTTACAGGGGGAGCTGGCTGACCCAAGCCATACCACTCTGTTGCAACCCTTTGCAGACCCAAGAGAAAGAGATGTACCAAGCATTCCCAACAGAAAGAAGCCTAGTCTACTACCTAGCAAGAGGAAGATTTTTCCTTGCCAGGCAAGGAGACACAGTCACAACTCAGCCAATGAAAAACTATTATATTTCAAACTCCCAGTTTACTCCATTGGACTCTGGCCCCCCAGCCCCCACCTCCACCCCTGCCCAGAAGTTTGTCTCCTT